AAAAAAATTCTCAAAACTAATGAAAATATTGAAACATCATACCAAAACATATGGGATGCTGCAAAAGCAGTTCTAGGAGGGAAGTTTATTTCATTAAATGCTTACATCAAAAGATTAAAAAGTTTTTAAATTAACAACCTAACACTACAACCCAAAGAATTAGAAAAGCCAGAACAATCCAATCCCAAACATAGTAGATGGAAAGGAATAATTAAGATCAGAGCAGAACTAAATGAAATAGAAACCCAAAACACAATATAAAAGATCAAACAAAAATATTGGTTTTTCAAGAATAAATAAAAAAAATAAACAAACAATTAGCCAGACTGACTGTTTTAGTCCGGTTTGTGTTGCTATAACAGAAATACCTGAGACTGGGTAATTTATAAAGGAAAGAGGTTTATTTGGCTTACGATTCTGGGACAGCTGCATTTGGCATGGGCCTCAGGCTACTTCTGCTCATGGCAGAAAGTGGCAGGCAACCGGCAGGTACAAGCAGATCACATGGAGAGAGGAAGCAAGAGAGAGAAGCAAGAGAGAGAGAGAAGGTGCCAGGGTCTTTTTAAGGAATGAGCTCTTGCGGGAACTAATAGAGGAAGAACTCACTCATTAGTCCCCCCTCCCCCAGGGAGAGCATTAATCCATTCGTGAGGGATCCATCCCCATGACTCAATCAGTTTCCAACACTGTCACATTGGAGATCAAATTTCCACATGAGTTTTGGAGGGGACAACACGTCCAAACTCCATCACTGACTAACTAAAAAAAGAAAAGACCCAAATAACAAAATTTAGAGATGAAAAAGGAGACATAACAACCATTACCACAAAATTACAATCATTAGAGACTATGATGAACAACTATACACCAACAAATTTGAAAACCTGGAGGAAATGGATACATTTCTGGACACTACAAACTACCAAGACTAAACCAAGAAGAAATAGAAAATCAAACAGACCAATAACAAGCAAAAAGATTGAAGCAGTAATCAGAAATCTTCCAACAAAGAAAAGCCCAGGACCAGATGGCTTTACTGCTGAATTCTATCAAACATTTAAAGAAGAATCAATACCAATTATTTTCAAACTATTCCCCAAAATTGAAACAGAGGCCATTCTCCCCAACTCATTCTATGAGGCCAGTATCACCTTGATACCAAAGCCAGACAAAGATTCTACAAAAAAACAACACTACAGGCCAATATCTTTGATGAACATAGATGCAAAACTCCTCAACAAAATATTAGCAAACAGAATACAGCAACACATCAAAAAAAATTATACACCATGATCAAGTGGGATTCATCCCAGGGATGCAAGGATGGTTCAACATATGCAAATCAGTACAATACTCTCCCGTGTGAGCCACTGGCTGGCCCAACATATGCAAATCAATAAATGTTATGTACCAGATGAACAAAATTAAGGACAAAAACCACATAATTATCTCAATAGATGCAGAAAAAGCATTTGACAAAATTCAACACCCCTGCATGATAAAGACTTTCAGCAAATTAGGTATAGAAGGAAGGTATTTCAACATAATAAAAGCCAAATACTACAAACCCTCTGCCAATATCATCCTGAATGGGGAAAAGCTCTAAGCTTTTCCCTTGAGAATGGGAATGAGACAAGGATGACCACTCTCACCACTCCTACTCAACATAGCACTGGAAGTGCTAGCCAGAGCAATCAGGCAAGACAAAGAAATAAAGCGCATCCAGATTGGAAAAGATGAAGTCAAATTGTCTCTGTTGCAGATGGCATGATACTGTATATAGAATAGTCCAAAATCTCTACCAAAAAAAAAACCTCTTAGAGTTGATAAATGACTTTAGTAAAGTTGCAGCATACAAAATCCACACACAAAAATTGGTAGCATTTTATCCTCCAACAATGAATTAGCAGAAAAAGAAACCAAGGAAGCAAGCCCATTTACAATAGTCACACACACAAAATAAAATACATGGGAATCAACTTAACCAAGGAGGTGAAAAATCTCTACAATGAAAACTGCAAATCACTGTTGAAAGAAATTAAAGAGGACACAAAAAGATGGAAAGACATTCCTTGCCCATGGCTTAGAAGAATCAACATTGTGAAAATGTCCATACTTCCCAAAGCAATCTACAGATTCAATGCAATTCCCATCAAAATACTGATGACATCTTCATAGAAATAGAAAAAACAACCCTAATGTTCATAGGGAACAACAAAAGACCCCAAATAGCCATGGCAATTGTATTAGTCATGGTTCTACAGAGAGACAGAATCAATAGGATATATTATATTATATGAGAAGGATTTATTAGGGGAATTAGCTCATGTAAATATGAAGAAAAGGCCCACAATAGACCGTCTATAAAATGGGTGCCAGTAGCATGGCTCAGTTCAAGTCCAAAGGCCTCAAAACCAGGGAAGCTGATGGTGTCCTTGGTGTAAGTTCTGGAACCCCAAAGCTAAAGAGTCTCAAGCTCTGATGTCCATGGACAGGAGAGAAGAGTATGTCCCAGCTCCAGCAGGTTAAGAGAGAACTTCATCTCTTTCCTCTCTATCTTTTGTTCTCTCTGGACCCCCAGAGGATTGGATGGTTCCCACTTACACTGAGGGTGGGTCTTTTCCACCCACGCCACTTGGACTCTCATACTAATCTCTGCTGGAAACACCCTCATGGACATACCTATAAAGATAGCTTTTCCAGGTTTCTCAGCATTCCTTCATCTAATCAAGTTGACACCTAGAATTAACCCTCACAGCAATTTTGAGCAATAAATAAATAAATAAATAAGTAAATAAAGCTGGAGGCATAATATTACCTTCAAACTATACTACAAAGCTATAGTTACCAAAACAGCACAGTACTGGCATAAAAACAGACACTTACACCAATGGAACAGAATAGAGAACCCAGAAATCAATCCACAAACCTACAGCTAAATGATCTTCAGCAAAGGCAACAAGAACATACATTTGGGAAAAGACTGCCTCTTCAATAAATGGTGCTGGGAAAACTGGATATTCATGTGTAGAAGAATGAAACTAGACTGCACCTCTCACCATACACCAAAATCAACTCAAAATGGATTAAAGACTTAAATATAAGACCGGGAAGTATAAAGTTCCTAAGAGAAAATGCAGGGGGAACACTTCAGGAAGTAGGACTGGGCAAAGATTTTATGAATATGACCCCCAAAGCACAGGCAACAAAAGAAAAAATAAACAAATGGTATAATATCAAACTACAGAGCTTCTGCACAGCAAAAGAAACAATTAACAGAGCAAAAAGACAACCTACAGAGTGAGAGAAAATATTTGCAAACTATGCTTCTGACAAAATTAATATCCAGAATATAAAAGGAACTCAAACAACTTAAGAGCAAAAAAACAAATAACCCAATTAAGAAATGGGCAAAGGAACTGAGTAGGCATTTCTCAAGGGAAGATATGCAAACAGCCAACAGACACATGAAAAAATGCTCAACATCACTCTGTATCAGGGAAATGCAAATCAAAACCACATTAAGATAACATCTCACCCCAGAATGGCTATCATCAAAAAGACAGAGAATAACAAATGCTGGCAAGGATTTGGAGAAAAGGGAACCCTCCTACACTGTTGGTGGGACTGTAAATTGGTGCAGCCACTCTGGAAAACAGTATGGAGATTCCTTAAACAACTTCAGATAGAACTGCCATACAATCCAACAATTCCACTGCTGGGTAATACCAGAGGAACAGAAAGCTTCATGTTGAAGGGATACTTGCACCCCATGCTTATTGCAGCTCTATTTACAATAGCCATGAGTTGGAACCAACTTAAATGTCCATCATCAGATGACTGGATAAGGAAAATGTGGTATATACACACAATGGGATATTAATTACTCAGTTATATAAAAGAATGAAATATAGCCTTTCGCAGTAACATGGATGAACTTAGAGAAAATCATATTAAGTGAAAAAAGCCAGGCACAGAAAGAGAAATACTGTGTGTTCTCGCTCATTAGTGGGATTTAAAATTATAAATATATAAATAAGAGAAAGAAAGACACATTCCCAATAATACACTGAACTTTCAAAAGGACAAATGGGGTCTCTAGAAGCGGGAAGGGACGGGGGAGAAAGGAATGGGTAAAGGGCCATGATTAGCAAAGATAGTGTATATTATTGAATATAATAATTATTCTGATGTGAGCATCACATATTGCATGTTGGTGTTGATGTTCAACTCTGTACCGTACAGATATGTACAATCAACTTTGTTCCAATAAAAAGAAAAACAATTACAAATTACCAAATTTGCACTGCCCCTGTAATACAGCACTTCCTTAGGTGGTACACATTTTGCCCTGTTTGGGATACTTTCCGGAACAACTTGTCAATTAGCATATTCTCCTTTCTTTGTAGAGTAAATGGTGAACACATCCCAGATCCCATAGATCTGCTAAAGTCTATTCTTAAAAAATTCTTAATTTAATACATTTTAGCATTTTATATATTTTTAAATGATGTAAAATTCCTCTTTTCTGGCTAAGGGCTATCACTTTCTTGGTCTATTTTTCTTGTATTTACTTCTAAGACAAGGACTAACAATTGTATTTTTGAAGGAGGTGCTTCGTCCAATAAAGCAAAGTGTTTTTTTGTTTGTTTGTTTGTGGGCTTTTAAAAAATCACTTTACTAAGGCTCTAGTAAGGAAATAACCCAGCTAACATGCTGATACTCAGTGGTCAGCTAGGCTCACTTACTAGCCACCTGCTCAGTTCTTCGCCTTCCTCCCATTCATGCCGAGCATAATGACAAATGTCTTTGTACCATGAATTAGGTGGTCACTCACTAGGCTTCTTGTGGATTGGGTGGGTAGAACTGTTAATGTTAAACTGGTGCACATTGTGCAGAATGCAGGCTAAATATATTTTGTGGAGTCAGCAAATATTTTAAATTAATTTCTCCCTGATATAATCATTGAAATGAAATGTGTTTGTTCATTTTCCTCTTAGGACCTGATTACCAATCCTGCCCTACATCAGAAGACTGTGAAAACAATCCTGTGGATTCCTTTTGGAAAAGGGCATCCATGCAGGTAATCCTGGGATGGATGGCTGAGTGGCTGAGCATGCATGGGACCCATGAACAAAGATCAGAGAAGTTCAGAAATTGAAACCCTGGTACTTAATTTCTCTGAGCCTCACTTTCCACTTTAACAATATCCCAGTTCGTTCTCTGCTTGATAAAGTTGTGAGGATTTAAGGAGATAAAATGCTTATTGCAGTGCCTGGCATTTGGTAAATGTTAGCTATAGATGGGAATATTAAATAGTCGTATTATCTCTATTATGTCATGCTTGTTCTTAGTATTTCAAACCAGTGTGTTTTTTTTCAGTAAAATATTTCTTTTATTAAGCTTCATATATATAGGTATAATCATGTCAGTAAGATAAGTAAATAAATAAAATCATAGTACAAAATTTAAAAAGTCATGGGTTGATAGTGTATAATTATATTAATGTATATATTGAAAAAAGAGAGGAATGATACTTATCTGTCGCAATAACAAATTATAACTTTACAACTTCTGTTTTCTTGATTATTTCATTTAAAAACAAGCAGCAATTTAAAAAGAATTAATTTTCGTATTAAAAATATTCAAATTCAGTAAAATAGTTTGTGTGAGCTAAAATTTGCACCTCCAAACAAAAATGGTACACCTTGCAGTTTGCATTGTTTCACTGTTTTAGAAATTTATACACAAATAAAAATTCTACATGGTCCCGTGGAATGACAGAATTGAAGTAATCAAGTTTAGTGTCTTAGTTCTACCATCGCTGTGCTATCATTGTTTTATTTATCTATTTATTTTTAATATTTATTTGTACATATTTGTGGAGTACAGTTTGTTGTTTCAAACAGTACATAGAATCAGTATGATTTGACTGCTGTGTAAAATGGGGTAGCCTCTGCTTTATGGAAGACCTTGGGACACCTGAGATCTAGATAGGGATCAGAAATGTCCACAACATTAATATTAATGAGAGAGGAGGTGATAATATACTGATGGTAAGCTGGAGACAAAGAAATGGTCTCCTTAGGGGAGGTTGCTTTCTCAGAGAATATTGTCACCACAGTTGATGACAGCTATCAGTAGCTATAATATGCCAGTGATTACAGCTGACATTCTCTGTTACCAGGATTAGAAATAAAGAGGGTTAAGTTCTTAACTCAGTGCCTGGCAAAAAGCTGTAGACTATTAATGCTAATTATATTGACCAGGAAGCAGGCGTATGTCAGGGTACTTCTACCCACCACCACCGACCCCCATTCAGGACTATCCATGTCTCTTCATCCTATCATCTACTCTGGATCCCCAGGTCTCCACTGGGTTCACTTTTAGTCAAGGTGAAAGAGACACTGGTCAAACTCTCTCCCATGGCTGCAGTATGGATGTAAGTGGAGGGTCCTCTCTAGGCAAAAGGCAGTCTGTTTATTACTGTGCTCTCCCACCTGCTCTGGGGAAGCACCGTTTTCTCTCACTACTCATAGATTTCATGTTGAGTGCAGACTGCAGTGACTGCAAGAGCCTCTCATTGGGGATTGGGGTGCTACAGATGTGTCATCACCTAAGAGTGGAACCCTAACAGTGACTCAGAGGAGATGTCAACTTTACATGTAAAGGAAACATATGTTCTAACCAGCAGATCTGCTGGACTTCAAAGTGTGTGCTCCAAACCACTGTCTTGTACTTCCTCCAATCATGTAATGGGGATCGAATAATAGAACCCACAGTTTTTTGTCTTTTTTTGTGACCGGTAATGGGATCGCAACCCTCAGTGTCGCACCCGTACCGCGACCGGCAATGGGATCACAACCCTCGGTGTCACGCCCGCACCACGCTCAACCAGTGAGCGGAACCGATCTGTATATGGGATCCGAACCCTCGGCGGGAGCGCCGCCACACTCCCAAGCGCCGCACTCTACTGAGTGCGCCACCGGGCCGGCCCAGAACCCACAGTTTTTTGTCTTTTTTTGTGACCGGTAATGCGATCGCAACCCTCAGTGTCGCACCCGTACCGCGACCGGCAATGGGATCACAACCCTCGGTGTCACGCCCGCACCACGCTCAACCAGTGAGCGGAACCGATCTGTATATGGGATCCGAACCCTCGGCGGGAGCGCCGCCACACTCCCAAGCGCCGCACTCTACTGAGTGCGCCACCGGGCCGGCCCAGAACCCACAGTTTTTGAGTCCTTAGAATATGCTGGGCCAAAGTATGAAGGGAAGTTGTATAGTATAGTGATGAGGAGAGGGTTGGAACCTTAGCAGATAAGTATTCAATCAATGTTAATAGTTACTAATTTAAATGTTTTCATCTTTACAACAATCCAATGAGGTAGAGACTCTTATCACCCTTGTTTTACAGATAGGAAAAATGAGGTACAGAGAGGGTGAGAAACTTTGCTAAGGTTCCAGAGTTTAGTTTTTAAATTAATGTTTTTCATATTGTTAATATAATAGCTGCTCATGACAGAGAATGGCAAATTACAGAAAATATAAATGAGGAAATTAATCACCCACATTCCTGCCTCCTAAAGGCAACCCCTTTAGCACAGTGGTCACCAGGCTTTGGCATTTGAGGATTGAACAATGACTGTTAGCACTGTTTGGAAGCAATCAAAGGCATGGACCACATGGAATGTATTGTGTTTTGGAACAGCTGGCATTGGGCATCCCTTTGCTAGAGAGGAAACCCAGCCATGTATATCTCAGTGCTTCATAGTTCACCCCCAGCCCTGCCTTCATTCTAGCATAAACATTTTATGAAGGAAATTATATGCTCTGGTAGTATTCTGCACTGGAGATTTGGGAATTTCTCTGGATCTAGCTCTCCCTTGGGAATTCCCAGACTTCTGCCCATTTATTTTTAACATAGTAGAGCTCATGCTCTGTTCACATAATCTTGCATTTTGCTTTGGATGCAAACACTTCTTATGCCGTTGCAAAACCTCTGTAGACTTTTGCTAATGGCTGGTTAATAGTTCAGTCATGTAGGGACTGTGGTTTACTCACCATTCCCTTGTTGTTGAGTGTTTGAGGTTGGCTACAATATTTTGTTATGACAAGCAATGCTGCGCTACACACCTTTGTGCACAGTGCTTGTGGTAGTCCTTAGTGCTGTTCGACAAATATTTCTGGCTTGTGTTCTGAGCTTGTGGTTTGCATTCCCCTGTTTCTTGAAGTTATTTACACGTGACTGACACTGGCCAAGGAGATGTGAATGGGAGTGGTGTGTGTGACTTCTACGTGAAAGACTTTAAGTACTGGTGTGTGACTTGTCACTTTCTCCTTCTTCCTTCCCTGACAGTCAATGACTTTACAGATGTGCAGACTTCATCAGCTAGGGCTTTAGAGTGAGAGCATATGGAGCAAAACCCCAATGATAGGCCTGTGATAAATGTATAGTGTGAGCATAAAACAAATCTTTGCTGTTTAAAACCATTGCAGTTTTGAAACTGTTTGTTATGGAATCATAACCTAGTTTATTCCAGCTGATATGATGCTGTGTATTTCCTATCATCTTCATAGGGTCGATTCTCAGACATGGGATTACTGAGTATATGAGTTTTCCGCATTTCAAAGCAATTTGTTTCCCAAAATAAACCAGTTTGCATCTCTACTAGTCATATGAAACACCAAATTTATTGCGTCTTTGCCAATATTGATGATTGTCAATTTTAAAAAATACTCAATTCATAGCAGAAAAATGACATGTCTTAGTTTGTTCCAAATACTTGTTTCTTCTTGCAGTATGCGAAGGATAGTTCTGGGGTGATCCAAGTCATGTTGAATGGTTCAGAACCAACAGGAGCCTATCCCATCAAAGGGTAAGGACAGCACCAACGAGGATTCCGAAATGTTTATGTAGTTGTTCTGAATGGAGGCTAAAGAGAATTGTCCTAATCCCCCATCTAATGCTTGCTTCTGTAAATTTAGTTAAAGCAAATAGTTGAATGAACTGGCGATCAGAGCCATGTCTATATAGTTAAGACATTAGCAGCTGCTGAATGAAATAAGTAACCTAAATGTTAAAAACAAACAAACAAAAACAAAAACAAAACGCTTAAAGCTTTATAAAATAAGTAATGTGTAAATCAGCTAACAACTGAAATGAGAAAAGTATCGTATTGCTTTAGGACTTTAAGAAATATCCTCCCCTGTTTCTCAGCTTTTTTGCAGATTTTGAAATTCCATACTTGCAGAAGGATAAAATCACACGAATTGAGATCTGGGTTATGCATGAAATCGGGGGACCCAGAGTGTAAGTTACGGCACTGTTGATGATGGTAATTGTGCAAGCATGCTTTTCTTGACTATGATATGATCGAGTTCATTTTACATTTTCAGTTTTGTGGGAATGACAACCTTCTCTGTTTCTATTGCGGTTAGTAGAAAAATACAAAGGCTTGACTTTCTGGAAATGCATTCCATTCTGCCATTCCCAAACCCAGAGAGAAAACTTCCTTTATCCAAGATGTTCCTCTCAGCCAGGGAAAATAGTGTTCCTTTCTGAGTGACTTGGGCAGCTTTGGATAAGCGAGTTCCTTATATATTTGTGAGGGTCAAAGCCAGTTTCCCACTCTAGTCAATTGAAGCCAAAAAGCCCTCACTAGGGGTTTTTGGAAGCAACCCAGGCGTTTTTTCTGAGACGAAGGCGTTATTCTCAGAGGACCACCAGCTCCACAACTGGGTCTTGGATAACTAGCCAAGGAAGCTTGTCTTCTCTGGGAAAACACATGAGTTTATATATAAATGCAAGTTTGAACTCATCCTTCTCAGCAATGAAGGGCTCTGCTGGCACAAACACAAGATAAAAAGTAAACCCCATTTGTTTCAGAGACAAGCCAACAAGCCTACATTTAAAGCTGGGTAGCCATGTTGGAGCTGAAGAGGCCCGCTGGTGGCCTGTTCTTCATAGTGTTGATGCTACACAGAGGAAAGTATTGGCACCTGCGATAAGTGGATGTGCCACTAAAAGTGTGCTCCGGGAGAATCTCAGCAAATTCCGTTTTCAATCCCCAGGACCCTCTAAGAGTCACCATGTAATGGGTAATACTTTTTCCTGTCCCTTGGGTAATAGAAGGCAATAAATTTGCAAACTACTTAATTACCTAAGTTATATCAAGATCTTCTTCTCCCTTTTCAGAATACAAATTATACTTAACAGTGTATGATTTTTCTTATTTTTGTGAGAAGTTGCTCTTTGTCTAGAAGTTATGGTTGCTTGTTGTTTTAATGTATTTATCAGAGAAAGCTTGTCCTTGGAACCTACCTATAATGGGATAAGGAAATTGCAATTCCATGTCATCTCAGCCCCTCATTTCTGCTGCAGGAGAGGTTACAAAAGGGGTCAGAACACCTGGTTGCACATTTAAGCCATAGAGTGGAGTTTTTGGTCACAAGCTAAGAAAGTGGGGGGCGTTGAACTGCTCAAATTTTAGAGAAAACACATAGTGAATAAAATTGTATTGTATTAGGGATTATTGTTAAATAAGTAGATTTTAGCTGCTCTTTTCACACAAAAATGTAACTCTGTGAGATGATAGATTATTTTGATCTGTTCTACCATAGTAACATTATACTATTTATGTATATCGCATAACATCATGTTGTAAACCTCAAATATACGCAATAACATTTATTTAAAAAGAAAACAGAACTCATAGGGAGAGAGCTAAAAACAATGTGACTAATACCTGAGTGTGTTTAGTTAGTATGACTTCAGCTGTCTTTGTTCAAAGGAACAGTAAAATAATCCACACTGACCGATGTCTGTGTCTAGGTGTCCTGAAGCCACCATGTCACTGCTTACTTAAAAAAAACCCTAGGTAGTAAGCCTGGCCCAGAGAAGAGCATCATCCCAGATTTTGGCAAGCTTCTAAAAAATGACATTGTTCAACACTTTGCCCTCTTTTTTCCTGTAATGCCTGGAATTCCACAGTGAAAATTCCTCTCGTGGCTCATTTCCTCCCTGACTACTCTCTCTCTATTAATTTTATGGTGGGGAGGCTGTTTACCTTCCTATTCGCTGTAAACTTAGGCAGGGCCTTGCCTGCGATGTGAACACCACACCTACTAGCCACAGCTGGCAGAGTTGTACGTACCTCTTTCTTTATAAATCCTCCCTTCTTAATAGTGACCACCAGGAGGGCGAGCATCACTGTTAGTGAGTGTGGGAAACAGGCACCCATACTGTACGGTGCAAGTTGACAGTGCATATGAAGAGCCTTAAAATGGATTCAAAACTTCAGTACCAGAAAACCTACTTTCAGAATGTATGCCAAGGAAACAAATAATTAAGAACATGTATGAAAATGAAGTTTCAGCAAGGTTTGTCGTAGTGTAAGTAGCATTGAAATATAAGAATCAACCTAGGTCTTCATTGGGAGGGGACTGCTTATAAGAGTTATGATGTGTTTATGTAAGGGAGACCATGCAGCAATTAAAAATACTAGTGGAGAGGCGTATATATGTACACTGACATGGGCTAAAGCCGAATACAATAAACATTGGATAGCAGAGTCCCATTGTTTTATTTAAAAAGTCTCTCAGGAATAAATGTATCTAAAAAGTCTAGAACAATATAAACCAAAATGTTAGGAGCAATTATCTCTAGGGATGTGAGATTTGAGGTACTTTTTTCTTTTATTTGTATTTTCTAATACCATATTTTTAAATTTGTATGTTTTCGTTACTTTTAAAAAAAAATCTTAGTTGACACAATGTAATTGTACGTACTCATGAGATACAATGTGATGTTTTGATACATACATATGTTGCATAATAATCGGCTTAGGTTAATTACCTCATGCATTTATCATTTCTGTGTGGCAAAAACATTCAAAAGCCTTGCCTCTACCTATCACGTAATTTACAAAACTTAACAGTTAACCATAGTCACCTTACTATGCAATAGAACACCAGAACTTATTCCTCCTATGTTGCTATTTCAAGCTTAAAGTAAATACACCGTAGTTTGAACAGGTTGGCAGTTAGCACTATACCAAGTGCCTGGGGCACATCATGGATGCATGCTGCGTGTGGTGGTGGACACCACGCACGTGCTGCATGCACCAGGCTTGTCCCTCCCAGGGTGTGTGGCCAGCACAGCCTCAGAACCGTTGTGGGGTCATCACACATCCTCTCCTGGGAGCAGCAGGTTGACCCGAGGCAGCACTTTTTAAAAAAAAAAATCCTTTTATTATTCCTTTTAAACAAAGGGCCACAAGGATAGGGGACCAGGAGAAGGGGGAGGACGGGAAGCGAGGCCGCAGCCCCAAAACCCTTCCCCACCCATCCCTCTCCCCATCCGTCATATATTTATAATCTACATCCAAGCCCTGGTGGAGGAGAGGCAAGGGGAACTCCCTCAGTAGGAAGGGGGCAACCCAGGCTCCTTGTCCCCTTGGAACCCAGGTTCCTCTGCCGGGGAAGCCCCTTCTCAAGAAGCTGGCCCTGTCATCTCCCAGGGCTTTGGCATTGGTGCAGGGCATCTGGTGGGGAGGCCTCCTGGCAGAGGTCCATGGGCTGGGTGTGGAAGACTCTGCTGTAGGTGGAAGGTGGGGCCTTGAGATGGGAATTGAGGCCAGAGAAGGACCTTCCAGTTGAGGAAGCACATGATGTCCTAGGTCTCCCAAAGTTGCTGCTCAGTTTTATTAATCCTGGAATGGCTTTAGTTCCACTGGGTGCAGGTCTGCTTGCCCCAAGCTAGGGGACAAGGGCCTGGCAGGTAAAGACAGCACCCGAGTGGCAGGAGTAGGTGGGGGCTGCACAGCCAGATGTGGGGGTGCAGAGCGGGGCCCACAGGTAACAGAGAAAGTGGGGAGGGGGCAGGAGGCGGCGCTGGTGGCAGGGAGCCGAAGTTCACCACAGGCAGCTGTGAGTCTAGAAGCATCTGCTGGCCAGGGGCCCCTGAACAGAGGAAGCCTCATTAGCCACCAGGCTGCAGAGGAATAGAACAAAAATCCAAAGGGGATGGCAGATACTGCTGTGCCTGCAGCAAGGGTGGGTCGGGTAAGGGCTGGGGTAGAAAGCTGGAAAGAACAGAAAGTGAGGCAGAGGGTAGAAAACTCCTCCAGAAGGCAGCTTCCCCAGCTCTGTCCTCGCAGTGCCGAGAAATCCAGAAACTGACCCTTGAGAGCTACCCCATAGAGCAGTGCAGAGGGAGGGGCTGGGCCCGGGGTAGGTGTAGGGGCTGTGATCTGTAAGGATGTAGTGAAGAGTTTCTCAGGGTAGAAACCTCCATTGTTGGCATGTAACTGAGAGTCCATGGGTCCCCCAGAGACCTGAGGACTGGGAGGCCCAGGGCTGCCATAGAAGGCCTCTAGGTACAGGCACTGGCCTGAGGAGTGGGGCCCTGGGCCACAGTACCCAGAACCCAGGTTTTTTGGACTGTGGCTCAGCTGAGGCAGAAGCACTGGGGGGCAGCTCCCAGTCTCGGGATACAGGGATGGCCTCAGTGACAGATGCTGTCAGCTGCTTCTTACCTTTTAAGCTTTCTTCTACCACTAGGCACTAGTCCGAGTCCTTGATGCTAGTGTCAAACTGGACTGGGGCGCCAGGTTGATGGGATGGCCAGAGGGGGCCAGCTCTGGGCCTCGGTCTGTAGGCTGTGATGGTTCTGCAAAGCAGCACTTTTTGGACCAGAAACATTCCCCTATTCCCCCTGAGAGAGGAATACTGGTGAGCATGTGGTCAAAAGAAGTTTTAGTTAACCCAGAAACAACTTCCTTTTCCTACTCCTCTTCTTCTCCTTTCATTTATTTATGTTTTTATCTTGTTTTTATGTTTTAGGGAATCCTGTGGAGAGGGCAGTGTGAAAGTCCTGGAAGACAGACTGGAGAAAATGGGGTTTCAGCACAGCTGTATTAATGATTACCTGTAGGTGGTATACGTAGTCAATGTGCATTCTCAAAGGGGAGTGGTGATTTAGGAGGGGCTGGGCTACTGAAAGGGTTTTGCTGGGTGTGAGTTCCAAAGGCCACGGCTTGTGTCTTCCAGGCTGCCTCTGGGGGTGGGGCAGGGAGTGCCTTCTGGCCATGGTTCTGCCTGGACCCCACACACTTCTGTCCAGAGTCCATTTTCACAGTGGTTAAAGAACATACAGAACAGCACTTTACCATTTGCCCACGTCTAGTGTTCTCCGCACCTTGCTGACTGTATGGAGAGTAACCAGAGAACAGGGACTGTGGTGCCTGTGTGTCTTTGGATCCCTGTGGGACAGTTGTCCATGACAGGTGCTAAGTTGGGAGTTTGTTTCAGACATTTGCAGATACATCTTGACTGTATACCAATAGGAAAATAATAATAGCTACCATTTATGGAGCGAGCACATTATGGGCCAGGCTCTTTATATACTAATGCTCGGATATTAATTTGAGGGCCAACCTGCTTTTTGCAAATTTAGAAAAGCTTGGCTCAAATCCTGGGGTTGTTGTAAGCCCTCCCCTGGACTCAGAATTCCTGCCTCTTGCCTCCGTCTGCCTCAGCTGCTAAATCCATGGGGCCTGCTGGCTCCTCGTGGGGCTGGCGTCCAACATTGCAAGGACTCAGTGGCTCTCTTGAACATTTACGCACGTGGCAGAGTGGAAATCACATCAGTAGTCTTCTTACCCAATGTCTGTGATCATCCTGCCGGCTCTGCCGCTCTCTGCCTTCCCAAAGGCTTCATGGGCTGGATAATTCTCCCAGCTGAGCAAAGACCCCTGCAGGGGTGGCCCCCTCCCTCCCACTCCATGCCTCCCTGAGAGAAGGGGGCCCTCCAAGCTGTTCTGTTACCCGTATCATTTTGCTCATGTATTACTGCGATGGCTCTCAGGAAACTCAAAAGTTAGGTGTTGCTTATGACCACTCTTTAAAAACAAAACAAAGCAAATACCATTTTCTTACATAGAGAAAATGTGCAAACCATAAGTGTACATTTGGGTGAATGTTCACAAGTCAGTGTATACGTGCAACCAGCACTCAGATCAAGGAACAGAACATGACCAGTGCTCCAGAGCCTCCCCTTGACCTCCCATTTGGTCACTAGCCCTCTCCCCCACAGTAACCACTCTCCAGATTTGTAAGGTCATTGATTAGTTTTGTCTGTCTCTATGCTTCATATAAATATTCCCTTTTAATTGGTAAGTAAATACCCTTTTTATAGATGAGTCAGAGAGTTTAAATAAGGTGGCTAAGGTCACCTTTCAGTGACAGAGGCAAGGTTTTTTTTTTTTTTTTTTTTTTCTCTTTAGGGGGCAGAGAATTATATTTCAACACATGTATGCAATGTGTGATGATCAAATCAGGGTAATTAACATATCCACCATCCATCATTTCTTTGTAAATGAGAGCATTTGAGCTCCTCTTTTCTAGCCATTTGAAAACATACTATAAATTATTGTTAATTATAGATGCCTAGCACTACTGTAGACCTCTAGAACTTATCTTTACTACCTAACTGTGATTTTGTAAAGTCATCAGGCCAAGTTGCGGTAGCCAGGCCAGAGCCCAGGGTCTCCTTCCCCCTCCCAGCTGTCCTGGGTCTCAGCCTGCTTTCCTTCCTCTCCAATGCTGTGCCCACCTCAGCTGGCCTCAGGACTGCTCCCTTCCAGGCCTTTCTCAGTTCCCCAACTCCCATTTCTTTATTGCCCACAGGCTCTTTCTGTGTTGGGCTGGGGTTTTTTGGCATTGCTCCCGGAGAGCAGAGAGGATGTAACAAAAGATATAACATGGGGAAGTGAACAAATCAAACAGGTTAACAAATCAAACTCCAACCCAAATGTAAGTGAGAACCCCCTGCTCCTCAAAAGGCCTTGCCTTCTGTCCCATGTTCTCCCAAGATTCTTGCCAATTTTGGCAGGCCTTAGCTTTTCATAGCCTCCCTTACCTCCTGGTTGGTTTCTGCTAGCACTGTAGTGAGGCTCAGTGAAACTCAGTGCCTTTTTTGGGCATAAACCAACAACAAACATCTCTCATAAAATATATATGTGCAGAGTAGACTTTACTGAAGAGTAAGTGAGTCCAGGATGAGATCACATAGCATGCCAGAGTGAACAGCGTAACTTTGTTCTTCCAAAGTGCCCCGCAGTCACTGTGCCACAGAGATCCTGTCTTTGCCTGCCTCCTACCTATTCCCCATGCTCCTCTGTTACCCAACTCCTCTGTTTATTGCTTCTTTCCCTTCCATCCTGCTGCTCTGGAACTTCACATCTCCCTCTGCTGTGCAGTGCAATGTTAGCTGTCTTTGCTGAAGCCTAAGCTTCAGCCATCGCCCACATGTTTCAAGTCCAATCTTCTGCCCAAAGTACTTAGCAAGAGGTTTTTCCAAAGTCATAAATGCATACAGAAGTGGTTACAAGCTCAGGCTCTGGAGTCAGCCTGCAAAGTTCAGGTTCAGCTGTATAACTCACTACTGTGAAAACTTGGGCAAGTTACTTTGGTCAGCTTTCTCAACTGTAAATTGGAGATAGAAATAGTACCAATATCATTTGGTGGTTGTGAGGATTAAATGACATCATCTACGTAAAACATGTAATCTGATTTCTTGGTACATAGTGCTCAATAACTGCTGGCTAGAGCAGCAAAAGATAAATCACATTTTAAGTCTTAAATAGCACAACTTCTTGTCACTTAGGTCCTTGGAATTTCTATTGGAGGATGATATGATAGAATAGTTTTCACAGTGACTGACTTATAGTAAACACTTGATAAATTATATAATGATAAAAAAATAAAACAAATGCTGGCTAATATTTAAAAAAAATAGTTTGTTAATTCTTTGAGGGCAGAGACCCTATATCTCTAGGACTTTGCAGGCATATCATGAATGATGAATGAAAGTTATTTAAAAGTTATATTATTTATAAATATTAAATATTATTTTCTTTCCATAGACCAGTGAAGCTCTTAAAGTGTGTGGACCACAGCACTCATCCTGACTGTGCCTTAAATTCGTGAGTAAATTTCTTAACCCCAATCTCCTTCTTTCCAAAGATAACCAGTCTCTAGTATTACAGGACACTGGTGAATTGCAGTATGATTTTACACCCAACTCCAAAAATGCCCACTTGCAGAGTGATTTTTGTACTTCTGCACTGCACTTCAGTCTCTCTGAGCGACCAGGTTGGTGCAGATTTGACAGACATCTGCTGAGCTGAACCAAACTCTTACTCTGTACTGCAGAGCAGAGGCGACCCGATGCAATCCTCTGCTCCAGCAGCTCTTGCTTCAACAGAAATTGTAGAAGTGGGACCTTGTAACATTTATATCTTAATCCTAATTTAAATTTTTATTAAAATTTTTGAAAAGGTAATATGTATTCGTGGGACAAAATTCAAAATTATAAAAGGGTAGAGAAAGTGAGCAATCCTTCCTCTATTCCGAAGTTACTCAGTTCCCCTACCTAGAGGCAACCACTGTTTCTGGTTTCTTTGGAATCCTTCTAGAGTACTGTGTGCTGGTTGTGACAACACATACACACACTCTCACTTCTCTCATACTGTTCGTATAAATGACAGTATATATAGGATTCTGGACTTTGCTTTGTTCACTAATAGTGTGTCTTAGAGCTGTTTCCATATTTGTAGATAAACCTGCCTGCCTCAGGCAACAATACAGAACATCCATCTGAGCCATACATCTAACTTGCTTATAGGTTATACTATTGGCCAGAAATTCAGTAGATTGATAATCTTAAGGATGGTGAAGATATGAGACAACAGACTTACTTACATTACTGAAATAAGGACTCAGTGTGTACTAAGGGTCAAAGGCAAAAATCAGCTCTACTATCTTGACCAGAAGTCTCTGTCCAAAATGCCCCAGGCCACAGAGGTGGGACCATCTGTCTCCACTTGCTTAGGAATAGTGGGTAAAGGGTTTTAAATCTACAAAGGTTTAGAATGAAATAAATGGCTGTTGATATAAATCCAACTTGAATTATTAATAGTTTTGGGTAAACTTAGGGACAACGCTTTGTACCATTATAAAAATCTGTATGTTTTGGTATTTAATTTATTTGAAACATTTTAGAGAATTTAGCATATAAGAAAAGCTGTTAAAAAAAAAAAAAAAGAAGAGCTGTTGGATTAGTCCTGTGATCCTAATATATGTGTAACTATTAAGTAACTGATTTTAGACTTAGGATTTTTAGTTGAAAGGTGTAAGAGAATTTTACTATTTTTAACCAATATTGGAATATTTAAAATAATTAAGATTAAATTTTATACATTTGTTAGATTTACTAGAATCAAGTATTTGAGAAAGCTTGGCTTATTTAAAGTCACTTAAAATATTTTAAAAAGAAAGTATAATATTTTAAAACTTAAGTTTAAAATAACAACCTAAAATAACTTGCATTTAAGACATCCAAGGGAATTAAATGTGTCAACACCCTTAAAAGTTATTGTCAGAGTTCATTAGGCTTTTAAGTAGAACAATACAATTCATAAACTAAATAGAAAAGTGTATGGGAAAATTAGGCTTTCAAATTTATGACTTTCATGACAAGAACTAATTTTTAAAATCAAAGTAACTGCAGGTAGTGTACAAAAGCTGCACTCAAGTATAACCTCACATCGACAAGAAAAACTTGTTAAGTTGCAATGTGACAAACCAATGCACAGAGCGTGAACTCAGACATGCAACGTGAAGGAAAAATCTATATGTTTGAATCTGTGGATGATAATGGGAGTAAATGATAGAAATAGGTCTGAGAACGTAAACTCCAAACTGCTAACTGTGGTCACTTCTAGAGAAGAGAGGAGGAATTGGAAAAAGATGAAGACAGACTCTCATTATTACTGTATTTAGTTCTGTGTTTATTTCTTAAAAAATAAAAATAAACGTAGCCTTATATTAATTAGTTAATTATTTATTTATTTTTATTTTGTCAATATACACTGTATATGATTATTATGGCCCATCACCG